GTTTGGTTATCATTGGCTAATGTTATATTTATGTTTGGTTATCATTGGCTAATGTTATATTTATGTTTGGTTATCATTGGCTAATGTTATATTTATGTTTGGTTATCATTGGCTAATATTGTATTTATGTTTGGTTATCACTGGCTATCATTGTATTTATGTTTTGTTATCATTGGCTAACATTGTATTTATGTTTGGTTATCACTGGCTAATATGATATTTGTGTTTGATTATTATTGGCAAACTTGGTACTTGTATTTGTTTATCATGATGTGGTCAACAACATATTAACTGATAATAATTCCTTTCTTTCGTACGGCTTGTTAAACCTGTTTATTATTTTCCACAAATGCATATAAAATTATAAATTATAATCACTTGTTTGTGTGGTTAACAAATGTACACTATAAACTGATGAAACCAATATCTTGAGTAAAACAATTAGTTGTAGATATTTTTAAGATTCTAAGAAAGCAAATTTAATTGGAAACTAACTATTTGGTTTTAATTTTATAACTAAAGTATTGAGTTAATTCATTACAATGCCACTTTCTAAATAACTCTTTTGTATCTTTTTCATTGCTTTAATTTTTTGTTACTTATCACAGCTATTATTTGGCTTTAAAATGAGTTTGTTTTGTATAAATGTGCAAATTTTGAATATTTTATGTGTTTTACGTTGAAGGTTTAATAGACAAATGTGTTCACTGTAATTTGAATTTTGTTATTAATGCTCATAAAAAATATTAGTCATTACTTTTAAAAAAGAAAGCAGTTAAAAACTTCAGTAATATGATAATGGTAAGTGTTTTCCTTGTTTTAGCTTTTCATCATCATCTTACTGATTCTAACTTTTATTTTCATTCAGTAAATCACTAAAAATTGATGTTTAGGGAAGACCACAACACGTTCAGGCATTTGTATGTGTCTTGTCTAGTATTTAAAAGTAATTTATTGGATAAATAATTTATGTGAAAATTTTCAGTTGTTGTAAGTTATTTAAAATGTCTGTGTTACGTGCATAAATTTGTAAATGTTTCATGATGCCCCAATTATGGGGCAGCTTGATGGAGATAGGTGTCACAGTGACTCCTAGTTTCTTTCAAATCTGGTATTAAGTATTGTGGCTTGTAAGTACACAAGATGAATGCAACTGTAGATCCAAAAATGTATCAAAGTCAGTATTACTAGTACAGGTAAGTTATCATCATGACAGTTGTATATATTTGGGTCAACTAGCAAATTTATAATCGTGGCAACTGTCAGGTTTTGTTGGTTTTGGCAGACAAAACAATATAATATTTACAAAGTGGAGAAGTATCTTTCACCTGTGGATGGACAAACTTTCCAAGCATCTTATTGGATTGGCTATGTGGAATGTGACCGTGTATGTCTATCTATCATCTTTAGAATCATATTTCAAGACCACCCCCACCCCCCTAGCAGAGTTCATTTGTATCAACTTAATGAGCATTTAGTCATCTGCTTCAGGTTGTTTATCTGGATCAGTCTTCTTCCTTCGTCAGGTTATCAAAGTTGGAGTCTTCATCACTCTTGTGTTGCTTTGTGGACTCTTCCTCATGTGGCTAGTTTTACATAACATATTGATGTAGTAAAATAATAATGGATCATTGTGTCCTGCAAACACAGTCTCGGTACGTGCCCATATTAGCTACTCTGATCTACTAAAATCCTGTGCTTCTTTTAAAGCAAGCAAGCAGTGGTGGAAAAATCCTCATAAGTAATGGGTATAAGCCTGCTTTATAATAATATCTAATTACAGGCTTACTCTAGGAATTATATATATTATGTGTGTATGAATAGTATTATAAACAGTTTCAAAAACATAAATATTTTGTTCCAAAGTGGCACGATCCACCTCGCACATAACTTTGAAAATTTTGGTTCTGTTCTTTATCATGAGTATTCCCTGATGTTGATGTAGAGATGTTCAATATTCAGGTATGGGAAGTGTTTTAAAGTGTCCTGGTCTCGTCTAATTGGTTTAGACACAAACAATATACATATAGTAGATGATAAATATTTTATTCTCCTTCTTGGAACTATTTATAGTTTTGTGTTATTAAATGTTTGAAATTACTTAATTGCTAAGTTAAATACAATGTTTTTTAAGTTAGAGATATGTACTTTAGTTTGTTTGTATGAAAAAGTTCTTTGTAAAGGTAAGTTAATCAGTCATTTATACTTTGAATTTTTGTGTTAAATACAGACTTTGAATGGAATACCAGATCAAGACACATATTACGATGTTGTGGATTCACTTGAAGAACAAGGAATGGAAAGAATCATACAATATTACATGTCTAAACAAGGGACTGATTTAGACCTGCTCCAGCAGTTCCAAATATATGAGGTAAGCTGGTTTCAAATACTGAAAATATAAAAAAAGATGATGCATATTGCTTTTCTGACAGATCTGGCCTGGCCTAGTAGTTAACATGTTGGACTATGAATCTGAGGGTACTATTGCCACAAAATCATGCTTCACACTGTGGAGTTGTGAGTATATATATAAAAGAGTAATGGTCAAATTTCACTATTCATCTAGAAGAGCCTAAGAGTTGGTGGTTGATGACTAGCTACCTTCCCTTTAGTCTTTCACCTCAAAATTAGGAATGACTAATGTGGATAGCCCTTATGTAGCTTTACATTAAAAACCAAAGCAAACAAACAAACATTGCTTAACTTATGGAATTATACGTATTACATACACATGTGCTAAACAAAACAAGTTTTAAAAGTTCATTTCTGAAGAAAAAACATAGAACCAAATTTTTACTTAAGAAGTTGAGGAATTTTAGTGTGGTGTAGTCATTGTAAACTCTACATTTTGATATTTTGAATCGCAATTAAGGATATTTTTTATACAGTATAATAACTTTTAATAGTATTTAAGGTCATTCAAGTAAGTTGATAGATGCTTGAAATATGTTACAAATTCCAATACTGCAAGAGCCTAAGTTTATGGAGGACAAAATACAATATTGAAAAAGCTATTTCTTACAATGTAATTTTTCACTTGGTTTATGTCTTGTAAGTTGATTATTTGTTTCACTTAGGCTGTTTTAAAACATGAAGATGGAGAGTGTGACACTAAAGCTTTACCTGTTGATTATCAGTTACTCAGGTAAGTAATGAAATAGTAAAGTTTTTATAAGAAACTTGTATGTTATGGGAGGAAGACACCTCTCTCTGAATTTGTAACAAAGATGTGCATATTAACCCTATACCAACATGATTTTGTAAACTGTTCAATTAATTCAGATAATTTTGTTCATCTTAAAATCATAGATAAAAATGTTTTCAGCAATTCTTTTTATGTACAATAGAAATGAACAAAATTTCCAACAACACCAAAAACTAAGTTTTGGTAAGAACTGAACTTAATTTGTGGAGCATTTTAAAACACCCTTATGCTGTTTTCTGAATGAAATGGTTCTCACAAAGTTAGTCTTCTAAGCTAAAGTAACTATCAAAGAAAATAATTGTATCTCAATTGGATTTCATAATCTTGTTTAATAAGGCAATTATATAGCAGCTATGTTTGATGATTGTATATTGCACTTACAATAACATAGCTAGAGCAAAGATAAGACATGTTTTGACTGTAATATAGAACATTTCAGCTATATCGGTTGAATCACAACTAATAATGATTGCATTTAAAAGTTTCGTGTCAGTGTTATTTTTTACCTTCCTTTTGGGCAGGAGAACTCATCACTTTTGTCTTCTGTCTTCATTTACAATCAGAAGTATTTAAAAGAGTGAAAAAAAATCAATCGGGTTATGAACATGCAAATATAAAGTAAATTTGTGGAGCTTAGATATGGCAATATATTTATTTTATTGATTACACATAACATTTTACTCTTGCTGGAACAGTGTAAGATAAAAAGAGGCTTAGCATAATAACTCCACACTTGGTGATTGTTGAGCTATGGAGAATGCTGCATGAGCATTCTGAACTGCCATTTTTTAAGCTCTTCGGTGAAGAAAGAGACTATTTTTAATATGTACATATATAAATGTGTATCTGTGTATGTATATATATATATATATATATATATATATATATATGTTGTGTGTATATAATTAGTA